TTCAGAGTAAAAGGGACTTTGAAAAGTACTTCAGAGATGTCATCAAGCCTCTCCTATCGGAAGGCTACTCTAAGTATGTATAGCCCCCCATATACGTAATACCTCAGGATTCATTCGTGCAGGGCTACTTGAAATGCACTGCAAAGTATCGAAAACATTTGTTCTATATTTTGAAAAAGAGAGATATTGTTGTAGATGACTAGATGAGGGATCCCCCTCCCCATTCATTGGGACGCAAATAGACCAATTGAAGAAGGTTGGAATCCAAAGTGATTACGCTTTCAACATGTTTGCACAGAGATGGGGGAAATGATCAATTTTATATCATTCTCTTGCCACCCCCACTACTAAGCCTAGGGGTGAGCAAGTACCGAACCGATACCGAAATTTCCCGAAAAAACCGAGAATATCGAATCGAAAAATATCGAACAGAAAAAGTACCGAAAAGGAACCGAACCATACCGAACCGAATGGTCAGTACGGTATTCGGGAACGGTACGAGGTGATGTGTAACACCCTAATCCGTCCAGGTCTGCAGCCCTTTTCGGACTAAAGTATTAACTTGGTGATCGTAACAATTTAAAACTTTTCAAACACTTTTTATTTATCACAATAATATTTTTCATAACATATACAGTACATAGTATTCAATAATATTGCGGAAGCGAATTTAATATTGACACATCATAAATCATTTCAAACTTGTCACATCCATCCTGACAATCTCGCCCCATCTGCCGCCAGGATCACATTGGTCTTCCTATTTTACCTGCGTGTAGCAAATAAAACACACTACACGCTCAGCGGTAAAGCTGAGTAAGCATATCTAATGCATCGAACATCCATATAAACTGAATCTAAATTCATAATCAAATCATTTGATATCATGCACACAATGTTCATTTCAGACATTCACAGTTTTGATAATGTTCAGTTCATATCAACACATTTTATTTAATTTAGATATTATTCCGACAATACCCTTAAATTATTCTTAATCTAAGGCCAAATAATAACAATGCTCTTAGCTATTCTTAGTCTAAGGCCAGACCATAACAATGCTCTTAAAAAGGCAATTAATTATCAGACACTTAAACTATCATTAGTTTAAGGGAATTGATTTCGGACACTTAACTGTAGTCAGTTAGGGCAATCAGACACTTAAACTATCACTAGTTTAAGGCAAATGATTCAGACACTTAACTGTAGTCAGTTAAGGCAACAACAACAATATGGCAATTGATCAACATTGGATCGGGCATTCCCAAACGAGTAATCCTCTAGCTTGGTCTACGAATCCCATTTATGCATTTTTATCTAATTCATCGACAATTCATGTTTCACAAATCCATACTAATATGAGATCTATTCTAGAGGTTTTCTAGATAGGCTTAACATCAATGCTCTAAATGTGTATATCTTAGAGTTCCTCTAGATACCTTTAACACTACAATTCATTCCATAACTATAATTGTATTCATTTTACTCATGATTCAATCATAAATACTTATTTTAATCAGTGGGTTCATTACTCATAATCATCCATAATATTCATTTATCATAATCATCAATTAACATAACAAATGATAACAAATAGCGGTCTAGCTTCGAGTGTTAACACCCGAACTTACCGTCATGCAACAAATATCATTTTTAGTTGTTAAAAACATCATTTTTATTGTGGTAAATAATTTTTATAATGATCATAACCAATTGGTATCAAAAATAAGATTTTAGAGCTAAAAATAGCGTTTTCAGACAAATTTTCGGATCAGAACTTCGGAGGATCGATCCAGCCCTCTAGATCGATCCATACTATGAAAAATCACTCCCAGGGGATCGATCCAAGCCCATGGATCGATCCAGACAGTGGGTTTCAGCTTACTGTTCATCTTCTTCGACCTTCGGTCCATTTTTCGGAAAACCCATTTTCAGACACTGAACTTCAACGAAACTATATAGGGATGTTCTCCAAGGTTCATAGGTCATTTTGGTATCATTAATTCATAGTTTAAACATCAAATTCATGTTTTATGATTCTTGGTTCTTCAAGAATGTCAAACACAAAACTCAACCAAATGAGCGTTTATGAACGTAGAAACGATCTATACGAACATTTTAGTCACTAGATATATCAACGGGCTTACCTCGAAGCTTAACGAAGGTTTTGGATATTTTCCGACAGAACTTCCGGCGACGATAACTCCAAACTCCGGCGACCTCTCACCAAATTGACAGCACTACTGCGTTCTCCTTACTTTGAGCAACAGAATAGAAGACGGAAGTATAAGTTTTGTTGAAGAATTGAGAATGCTTAGCTCCCTTTATATAGTGGGTTTTAGGAAGAAGAAGACACTGGTTGCTGAGCGTAGGAAGATTCACAATCGGCTTAGTGCGCTGGGAGGCGCCGTTCGCACAGTGTCCCTGATTGGGACCAATTTTGTTTCCAGTCGGGGTACACTTTTTGGTCCAACTTTCTCCTAATTGAATTTCGTTTGCACTGTTGTGATCAGATAGTCGAACTATATCCAATGATATAATTTTTATATTTATTTGTAATACTTTTTCTGACATCATATTTTTGGGTGTTTGACTTCGACAGAGTCAAAATTAGTTTAATTGGCCTTTATCATAAAAGGTTCTCATATTTAATTTATTCTCATTTGTTTATTTCAAGAATTCATTTCAAAGCTCATATCACAATAATTTCTTTATTTATTCTGGATTTGGGTCTGTACACAGGTTCCCAATCTAGGTCACACAATAAGTCATCATATTGGATTTATCTCTATGAGATTTATCTTGCTTGTGATATTGGATATCAAAACACATTTTATTTCGGCCCAAAGCCCAACAACAATTTATTTTAATCAAAATAAATTTGATTAATTGATTATTTATTTATTAAAAATTCTAGGGTATATTTTGGGGCGTTACATGATGTGCCATACCGAAAATCCCGTACCGAACATATATACTAAAATATTATAAAAATAATACCCCGGAGTATTATTTTTATGTATTCCTTCACTAAATTATACTCCCTCCGTCACAATGTATTTGTCCACATTTGACTTTTGGAACTGTTCATCTAAGCACTTTGACTCATCAAATTCTCTCAATGTGTAAGCCTAAATATAATATAGTCATGTGTGATCTTGTTTGATTTGTCTTAACATATAGATTATTAATATATAATTTTTATAATTTTTTAATATACAAATTACAAGATAAAATGGATTAAAGAAGTGCATTGGATGGTGTGTAAAAATGAAAGTGGACAAATACAGAGGGACGGAGGGAGTAATTTTTTTAAAAAAAATTGGTTCATGTTCTATTATGTGTAAAATATACTTTTATTTGAGTTTTAATTTTTGTGTATGAGCATAAAAGTATTCACAAAGATTCAAAATACTCCCTTTGTCGTCATTCATTTTTTAGTTTGTGAAATATAAACTAAGTTTTTGATACGCATCTCTTGCATTTAAATATTCATTTTTTTAATTTTTCATATTTTTTATTTAAATTTACTTTTAATTTTCAAAAATAAAGGGGTATTGTTAAATTTTAACGTGTAAAGTATGTATGTATCTTCATCCCGATTTGTACCGAAACCGACACCGAACCATCCCAAACCATACCGAACCGATATTTTGGGATCCGGATCGGTACGGAGTAAAATCCCATACCGAATCGAAATGTTTGGTACAGTATCGGTACGAGCTAAATACCGTATCATGCTCACCCCTAACTAAGCCTAAGTATATCTGCGAAGCCTTTTTGGCTGCTGATGTCGTGTTGGGAGATAGGAAGGCCACACGGTGACGTGTAACATTTCGACCAATCAAAAAGAATCTAGTCAGCGTGTGACGAGTGAGTGAAGTGGCATGTCATGCAATTACAAGTAATTGTTTTTGTCGTTTTTTACACTTTTGTGACATATTTTAGTTATAATTGTTTTACCTATCTTGTTTTTCATAAAAATATATGCACATCATTTTTAAAAAAACATTTTTTTCTACAAATAAAAAAATATAAAAAATTTAAAAAAAGAAGAGAAGGAGTGCCTCGCACAAGACATGCCTTGCATGGAGGAATGCACAAGCCAAGCATGACAAAATAGATAAATGGCTGATGTGGCATGACGTGGCATGCATTTTCTTCGCCACTACCAATGCTCTTAATTTCTTAAACCTCACATTTTATAATACTCATTTGTCTAATTTTGACTTTTTTGGTCAAAATTAGTAAATTTTGATCTCAAATTAAATATAAATGATATTAAATATTGATACATAAATAGTTTTATTAGATTTATTTTATCAAATATTTTCAAAATATTATTTTATTTAATTAAAATATAATACTCCCACCGTCCCTAAATAGATTACAATCTTTTTTTCTCTTTCCTCTCAATAACTTTTGTTTGTTTACGCAATTTCATCAAGTATTTGATAAAATAAAATATTCTTGTCACCTCTTGTTTTGTAGAACTTTTGACGTATTTTTTAATATGTAATTTTTATATCTTATTGAAATTCCAATTTGTAAATAAAATGATTTCAAAAAATAGGAAATTTTACTCCGTAATCCGCAATTTGTAATCAAATTAGGGACGGAGGGAGTATATATTTTAGTTAATTATAGGTGAAATATTGAAAATAATTGACTGAAAAAAATCAAAACTGGACAATTACTGAGAGACTAATTTTGATTGATAAAGTTTTGTTTAATTTAAAATCAATAGGTTTTTGGCACATTAAAAAAGAACAAATGATGTGATAGTTGCCACCCACATCTACCCACTGATTCTCCATTAAAGACTGAATTCTGATAACGTTACATGACATCTAAAATACTTAGGGGCTGTTTGTTTCACCCTCTCAGATGTCTGAATGGTTCAGCACTTAATGGTTCAGACTGTTTGTTTCAGTCTCTTAATGGTTCAGATGTCTGAATGGTTAAGAGATTTGCCTCTGAATGGTTAAGTATTATACAGAGTCTGAATGATTAAGACCTCTTATCTGAATTGATCAGACATTTGCCTCTGAATAGTTAAGCAATATACTAGCTCTTAATGGTTCAGACCTCTTACTGGTTCAGCACTTAATGGTTCAGACCTCTTACTGGTTCAGCACTTAATGGTTCAGACTGTTTGTTTCAGTCTCTTAATGGTTCAGATGTCTGAATGGTTAAGAGATTTGCCTCTGAATGGTTAAGTATTATACAGAGTCTGAATGATTAAGACCTCTTATCTGAATTGATCAGACATTTGCCTCTGAATAGTTAAGCAATATACTAGCTCTTAATGGTTCAGACCTCTTACTGGTTCAGCACTTAATGGTTCAGACCTCTTACTGGTTCAGCACTTACCCATTCAGAATTTGCCAAACAGCCCTTAGTCTAAAGCCAAAAAAAGAAGAAAAAGTAAAATGCTAGAGGTACACAAAATGCTAGAGGTACACCAAAACTTCACACTCTCTTTGTCCACAAAAAAGACAAGAAAATAAAAAAAATGAATAAATAAAAATAAAATAAAAATGGATGGTGGAGAAGGAGTGATGTACATTGTGAAAAATAAACGAGAAATGCATGTGATGAAGAACAGTAGTAAGCGGACAGGGGAGGAGATCCTGTCACAGATCAGGACCAACCCTCATACTTACTCCGCAGTGTTTCTCGGAGAGCCGCCACGGGGGGCCCACCAGAGCTACACCGTTGTTCGGGGCTTTCAGCTCCATCCCCATCCTTATCGGGACAGAGGATTTCTCCTAGAGCTGGGGAAGAAGGGCGGGGGAAACAGAGAGGATAAAGGGGAGAAATATGGAAACAGGTAAGGTCTGCAATGTTTTGTTACATCAATCCTTCTATATGGTCGATCTAACTTTGACTTTGGAAAATTGTCTAAAGGCCAAGAACAATTTGAAATGTGAAATTTACTACTAAAATATACTCCCTCTCTCCTTAAGTTCCTAAAGAAACTTCCATTTTTGACTTTTTGAAAATTGAAGATATATTTTTTGTTGACTTTCCAAAAATATTTTGATGTAATGTGTAAAAGTAAAATGTGATAGGTAGATTAGTAGTAATAAAAAGTATGATGTGATAGGTAGGGTATGAAAAAAAATAAGGGGTAAAAGAAGTTTTTTAAGGGAAAAGAGAAATTTATTTGAGGATAAAGAAAAAAATGAGAAGGGAAGTTTATTTAGGGAAGGAGAGAGTAGGTCATTTTCTAATGTAGAACTTAAATGTTTATATTCCTTAAATAAGACTGAATAACGACTAGTGAGAAAAATAATATCAAAGTGATGCTGGACATTTATTTGAATAATGATTAATAGATAATGACCAATGGTCCTACTTTGGAAAATAAAAATATATGGTCTTACATTGAAAAAGTTATTATATTTTAGTTGTAGGTAAATTATATTTTGAAAGAGCAATGCTACGTTCATAAACAAAATAATTACAAAATTTATAAACTTATTATTTATAATTTAAATTTTATTTTAAAATTATTTTAAACTATTTAATTTTCTGTATTGAAGTTTACAAATGGTAAATTTGTGAAATTTGAATTTGTGAATTTCCCCATTTGAAATCTAGGGTTTGGGTATGTAATAAATAAATGGCTGAGAGAAAAAGGGGAATCAACAGCAAAGAGATAGGGAATGGACTACCCAAAGATACCAAATTCAACGTTGTATAAGCTGCGGGAGATATTGGCGGAAGATGATCCGGTGAGATTGAAGGCATTCTTAGAAGATGATGAATCGGATGTGTGGCTCTCGGAGTACCCGGAGGTGATGACGGAATGCCTATCGTACGGGGCTAAGAAATGCGCCTTTCTGATGCTCAGCGGCGATGTTCGCCACGGGATTGGTGAGTATTCTAGACGGGATGTTCTCCATCAAGCCTTGGAGATCCGTACGTGTGACCCCGAAATTGTCGAGGTTTTATTCGAGCGTTTTGGTGGCGAGCGGTATGCAAACACTCTTACTCGTTTCGGTACCCTACCCATCCACGACTTCATCTCTATGCTCACACAGATCTTCCCTGTGTGCACTTGGATTCGAGACGGTTCTCTCGTCAAGCTTCTCATATTACTTTGTGATCCTCAACTCCGTAAGAAGCTCCATTGTTTGCGCTTGCTTGCTAATTATACTCACTCCCTCCCTAAGGTTGCTGCTTCCTTTCTCATTAATAGTGATGTTGTCGAGCTTGCTGCCTTGCTTTTGGTCACTCACCCCTTGCTTCTCCATCATTTAAAATCTTGTCATTTTGAGAATCATCCCTCCACAATGAAGGACAGAAATGAGATGGTTTCATTGGCCGCCGTTGGAAAATTTCCAAATCCAAGTGGGTTTGGATTGATTGAGATTTTCGAAAAGGCTGGTGATTCACTCACCAATTTCTACACCAATATGCCTCAAGATGTATGTTATGCCCCTCCTTATATATGTATTCATGGGTTTATAAAATAAGTTGTGTTTGTAGGGGCAGGCTCCATCTGATGAATGGTTTTTTTTGGATGATTTCAGATTTCCGGCCAGGATCTGATAAATAGTGTTGCTGAGATCCTCTTCCGTGATGCTCAAATTCCAGTATCTGAAGATGATGTGGACTTGGCCGGAATTTTGAGGTGTGCCCGTCTTATTGTTGGGCCTGATTTTACCCTTGCTTCTTAGCTTTTATTAGTCACTATGCTTTGTCTAACTTGATTGATTGACCATCTTATGTATGCCTGGTCTACAGTGTGGAACCTGAAATGATGCCTTCCATTCACCAATGTCTGCTTGGTAAAACCACACTTTTATTCCGCCATAATAATACAGCTTTCTTTGTTTCAAAATTAGCCTGCTTGCAGCAAAGTTGAACCAAGCATGTATATATGTATAATGACAAGACTTGTTGTCGTGGGAAAACTTAAAATCCATAATTTGGTTTCCTACCGTCACTGTTCTCAGTCTTTGTGTACAAGGGGAGACACGCGAGAGGACTAGAGGACATAAACACCCTTGGTCACTTTCATTCATAAAATTCTGACAAACCACCCCGAATAAAACTAACACACTTCACTGACACAATTTAATACTAACCAACTTTTATTAAAAAAAATAATTGAGAGAAGGCCGTGATGGCCATCACTGCTGCAAGGGCAACCCTCCCGTGCATTTGGGGTGGGGGCGTGACGGAGATGGTCAAGACCTCCTCACGCCATGATAACACATGCCTAACTTCTCTTATTTTTATCTTTAACTTGTTTTGTTTTTCTGAACGAACTTCAATGTAGCCCCTTCCTTATTACATCAGTTATGGTTTATTCTAAATCTTTACTTGATTTTCATTAAGGTCAACTTCACAAGGTGCTAAAAATCTTTTCTTTTTCTTATGTGTTTTTACTTGATTTTGGGTCCCTTTATATTGGGAGTAATTGTATTAGTTATTTGCGAGTAGTATGCTTTTGTCTCTAACAATGGTCATCCATTATTGGTTAGGATACATACAGAAAATTACTCAGGGGTGACGCGAGTTTTGTTGAAATAACTCTCAGGTCCCTCTATTTTTAAAAAGACAGCAGAGGTCCTTACATTTTGTTGTAATGACTGGAAGGGGACATTTCATCCAATATTTCATCTATAAACGTTAATAAATGTGTTTTTTTCCTATTCTTTTCTAAATGTTTTAAGGTAATAAATTTTAGGTCGCTCCTTTTTTCATTCTTTGTTTTTCTTTCATTTTGTTACTATTTTTTAAAGTGTTATTTTAGAATTTCTTCTATAAAATCATATTAAAGTTCAAAATTGTTTGTATTATATTAAAACAAATGAAAAAAAATTAAAAAAGAAAAAACAAGGTAATGACAAAATAGGAAAAAAACGGTATTGGAAAAATAAGAAAAAAATACATTTATCAACACTTACGGATGATGTATTGGATGAAATGTCTCCTTCCAGTCATTACAACAAAATATAAGGACCTTGGTTGTCTTTTTGAAAATAGAGGTACCTGAAAGTTATTTCGACAAAACTCACGTCACCCGCGAGTAATTTTCTGGGATACATACCATGAATGTTCCCATGTCAATATATGAATTCTCATAGTGAAAATAGTGTAGATGTTGAGGATCTAGACTCCTGAGCATACTTTTTGTAAGCCTTGTCCTCTTTTCAAATTAAAATCTCCCGTTGGGCTTTTACGAAGCTGAAGTCTTGTGTTACAACATCTTTTTGGCATAAACAAAATTGCAATATAGAGTTTTTTACAATGGTGATGATCAAAGTGAAACTAGTATGTACATGTAAATGGTGTGGAAAGCTGAACATGCATGTTTAAACCTATTTCCTCTCTTTTCATTTTGAGTATGATTGGCCTTTACAAAGTCTTCATATGGAGGGTTTACACTTGTCATAGCACTCCATTGCTAGTGATGCGTTCTTTTTTTTGTAGGGATGGTTTGGAAATATCTCACCTGCTCAATTACAAGGGTTTCGCAATGCAAGATTTGGGCATAGGATGGGGAAACAGCCATATTCTACTGCAGCCTTGCAGAATCTCAGAAAAACTGCAAATTCACAAGCTTGTTTTTCTCCACCTCCAACTTCGACATTAAGGGTCATGACATCTCTGGCAATGAGACTTGGAAGGGGCCTCAAGCTTCTCTCATGGCAGGTATCTAACACGGAGTAATTCATTTAGTACAAAACAAAAGGTGACAAGAATATTTTATTTTATCAAATACTTAATGAAATCACGTAAACAAACAAATGTAATCGAAAAGTGAGAGAAAAATTGTAATCTATTTAGGAACGGAGGGAGTATAAACATATCATAGACAAATTTAAAAAAAAATTAAGGGAAATAAAATCAAATACCAATGCACCAAACGGAGTCACCTACTCCGGTCACTTTTCCTGCATTTTCAATTTTTTTTGGCCAAGATAAGATGGTAAATGAGTGGATGGGGAGGATTTGCAATAATTGAATACCAACAGAGTAGGGTCACTCCCTGTTGTTCTTTTTTATTTTTACATATATTGGTAATTTGCTCTACACAATTCACCCCGTGATAGCATACCTAGCCACATAGCCCAGAGAAGAGGAAGGCAGCAAGAGGATCATCTTTAAATTTATTTTATACGGAGTATTTTTTTTACATTGAGTATGTCTAAGCTATTCAAAACATTGAAAGGTTTCAGTACCATCGGAGCTTCATCTTCAGCCGCAAGCAGCAAATTTCCAAAGGTATAATTCATAATCCTGTTAAATAAAAAAATACTACTATTTTATTATTATCAATTGCAATTCAATAAATATAGAACAATTTAGGGTGCTGGGGATTTTGAAGATTACTTCAAAACGGAGATCAAACCTCTCCTAATTGAGAGGTATTCAAAGTACCCCCAGCCACCCACATATGTGTTGCCTCCCACATATGTGTTGCCTAAGGACTCGTTTGTCCAATGGTACTTTCGCTGCCCGGTGAAGTACAGAACATTTCTATTTGATGCCTTGGAACAAAAGCTGATGGCGATGGAGGATGACGGGGGATCTCTCCCAGGGAATCCCCAGTCCACTCCCAAGACAAGGGGACCTACAAAGGTAATGGTAAGCATCCCACGGAGAATTGAGGATGGCTGGAAAGTCATCCACGTGGATTATGCTTACTGCTCAAGGACTGGATGAGGGATCGGGGAAGTAATTTTTTATTCGCCCGCCACCAATAGCTGCATTCCGGAGTACATTTGCCAACGCTCCTCCACTTCCCCCTCTGATGTTGTACTTGGGGAGGGAGATGCCTTCATTGAGACCCCCCAGAAAGCTAGGGCAGATGGAGCGAGAAAAGTTTGATGTTTGAGCAACTGTGATGCAATCGTGAACTACATCAACGGGAGCCGCCAAGTTCTCGAGAAGCACTTGGAGACCGTCTTGTAAATTAGGTTTCAAAATTAAAGAATAGTATTATTTTGCAGAATAGTTTAATTTGTACGTGCTTTTTATGATTAAGTTTTTGTCTTCTTGTTTGAAAATCAATTCTTTGTTGGAGAGTTTTGAGGATTTCGAAGTGGTGCATCTGTACCGAGAACGAAACAGTGCAGCAGATTAGTTAGCGGTGGCGGGCCATAAGTACAGAGACTTGAGCATGGTGAGCAATGTAGATAGGGAAGAGTATAGTAATCTCGTAGCGAGCCTCATGGCCTAAGAGCCATGTTTCCCGATCCAATTTTAAACAAGGTACTTCCGAATTTTATTTGAGTTGTTTCTGCTTGTTGGAATGGGTTTTGGGTGTCAAATACTTTTTTTTGTTTCAATACCTTAATTATCTCATATTTCAAGTAAAATATGTTTTTTTGGGTGTCAAAATATTTATCGGGTTTGCTGTTGTTCAAGTGCTATAAATTTAATTTTCATTTATTGAATGTCAGAATCTAAAGAGAACATCCTCTTGCATTGGAATGTCTTTTTTATACGTATTGTTGTTAGTTAACAATGTTGTTTTCATTCGAACTTCATTTTTTCCATTATATGTTATGTTTGTCCCACTTAACTAAAATTAGATTTATAGCACACTTGAACAAGAGCGAACCCGTTGACACCCAGAAAAAACATATATATTTTACTTGAAATAATTAATGTATTGAAACCAAAAAAAACTATTTGACACCCAAAATTTATTCCAACAAGCAGAAACAACCAAATAAAATTCGGGAGTACGTACCTTGTTTAAAATCCGATCGGGAAACATGGCTCTTGGGTCATGTGGCTCGCCACGAGATTATTATACTCTTCCATCTCTACATTGCTCACCATGCTCAAGTCTCTGTACTTACGGCCCACAACTGCCAACTAATCTGCTGCACTGTTTCGTTCTCGGTACAGATGTACCACTTCGAAATCCTCAAAGCTCTCTAGCAAAGAATTGATTTTCCTACAAGAAGACAAAGACTTAATCATAAAAAGCACGTACAAATTAAACTATACTGCAAAATAATACTATTCTTTAATTTTGAAACCTAACTTACAAGACGGTCTCCAAGTGCTTCTCGGGAGCTTGGCGGGTCTCGTTGGTGTAGTTCACGATTGCATCACAGTTGCTCACACATCAAACTCTTCTCGATCCATCCGCCCTAGCTTTCTGGGGGGTCTCAATGAAGGCCTCTCCCTCCCCAAGTACAACATCAGAGGGAGAGGTGGAGAAGCGTTGATAAATGTACTTCGGAATGCAGCTATTGGTGGCGGGCGAATAAAAAATTAATGCCCCGATCCCTCATCCTGACCTTGAGCAGTAAGCATAATCCACGTGGATGACTTTCCAGCCATCCTCAATTCTCCGTGGGATGCTTACCATTACCTTTGTAGGTCTCCTTGTCTTGGGAATGGGCTGGGGATTCCCCGGGAGAGATCCCCCGTCATCCTCCACCGCCATCAGCTTTTGTTCCAAGGCATCAAGAAGAAATGTTTTGTACTTCACCGGGCAGCGAAAGTACCTTTGGACAAACAAGTCCTTAGGCAACACATATGTGGGTGGCTGGGGGTATTTTGAATACCTCAATTAGGAGAGATTTGATCTCCGTTTTGAAGTAATCTTCAAAATCCCCAGCACCCTAAATTGTTCTATATTTGTTGAATTGCAATTGATAATAATAAAATAGTAGTATTTGTTTATTTAACAGGATTATGAATTATACCTTTGGAAATTTGCTGCTTGCGGTTGAAGATGAAGCTCCGATGGTACTGAAACCTTTCAATGTTTTGAATAGCTTAGACATACTCAATGTAAAAAAAATACTCCGTATAAAATAAATTCGAAGATGATACTCTTGCTGCCTTCCTCTTCTCTGGGCTATCTGGCTAGGTATGCTATCACGGGGTGAATTGTGTAGAGCAAATTACCAATATATGTAAAAATATATAAGTGCAACAAGGACTGACCCTACTCTGTTCGTATTCAATTATTGCAAATCCTCCCCATCCACTCATTTACCATCTTATCTTGGCAAAAAAAAAATGAAAACGCAGGAAAAGTGATCGGAGTAGGTGACTCCATTTAGTGCATTGGTATTTGATTTTATTTCCCTTATTTTTTTTTAATTTGTCTCAATGATATGTTTATACTTCCTCCATTCCTAAATAGATTACAATTTTTCTCTCACTTTTCGATAACATTTGTTTGTTTACTTGATTTCATTAAGTATTTGATAAAATAAAATATTCTTGTCACCTTTTGTTTTGTAGAACTTTTGACGTAGTTTTTTAATATGTAATTTTTATATCTTATTGATATACCAATTTGTAAATAAAATGATTTCAAAAAGTAAGAAATTTTACTTTGTAACCCGCAATTTATAATCAAATTGGGGACGGAGGGAATACAAAATTTTGAATTTGTGCGTAGGTATTCGATTTTATTTCCCTTTATTTTTTCTAAACTTGTCTTAATGATATGTTTATACAAGATTTTGAATTTGTGCGTAGGTATTTAGTTTTATTGTTTTGTTAAATTTGTCTCAATGATGTTGTTTTTACAAGATTTGAAAGGGGAAGGGGTTTGGGTTATCCGAATAGCAAGACGAAGCAAGCTAATCTGTCTGCCTTTAATTTCATCCAAACCTGATTTGGCTATTCTGTTTGGGGTTTATTTTTTTAATAATGTGAAATGGAGTACGCTACTCCGTTTAGTAAACTAAAAACCTAAAACGGATTTGGTTAATCCGTTTCTTTTAAAGTTTTCGAGTAGAAACGGAGTAGCCAAATCTGTCTTGCATTGCAATGACTGCCAGGAATGGATATTTTTTTACATATGTTGGTAATTTACTCTGCTATCACGTGTGTTCCCAAGGGGAAATATCAAGCATGCATTATTTTCTTTTTTATTTTTACATTTGTTTTTTTGTGAAAATGATATGAGTATCGTAGGAGCTAGTATAGGGAGTACTACTAGGTATGGAAGCTCAAATTGGAACATCTCACTGTCTTTTTTATTGTATACTACGTATTAAATTAAAACATGCTTATAATAGTATAGTACTATCGGCCAATTGTTTTAACTTTTTTTATTGTCCCTGAGTATTCATCAAATTTTAACTTTTTTGGTCAATTGTTTTCAATCTTTGACCTATAATTAAATAAAATATATATTTTATTTTAATTAAATAAAATAATATTTTGAAATTGAACTCAAAATTTACCAATTTTGATAAAAAAAAAATAAAAAATAGACAAATATTCAGGACGGAATGAGTATGAATTATGACCGTCGGAAGGTAAAAGCATTGAATTAGTAAGAATATCACTCAAAGGGTAAAAGGGGTAGACCAACTTTGTAGACCTAGCTAGTAGGCTAGTAATAATGCACTACTGCATGCATTGTTCAATCTCATAAACTCAAATATTTGCAATGATGTTATTATTTCCATGAAAATGGGACATTTGCTTTTTAGGAGAGATTTAAGGGAGTGTATTTTGGTATTGAATTTCCAAAAATATCCTTTGATGTGATGGGTAAAAGTATGATTTGATGGATAGATTATTAGTAAAAAGGTATGATGTGATAAGTAGGGTATGAAAAAGTAAGGAGTAAAAGTGACTTTTTAATAGAAATGAGAAGTGTTTTGTGGGACGGATAAAAAAAGAAAGGAGAAAGGTTTCATGGGACGGAGGGAGTATTAAAGTAGCTTGTTGATACACGGAGCCTAGTTAGACCTTTTTTTTTTAATTTATTTTTTTGTATATTTTCATAGGGATATGTTAGGGGTAGACCAAATGTGTACCTCAAATATACACCACCCTCTTCTTTTATCATTCATTTTATTTTATTTTTATTTTTTACTTTTTTTTGAATTTTTCTTGCTTTTTTTGTGTGGTGATGGAGGGGGTGAGGAACATTTTCATATGAGAGGGGAGCCACATTTCTGTCCCTACTTCGTACTTCTACTACCCGGCAATGATGTTACACGGAGCGGATCTAGGTACAAACTAATGGGGGCAATTGCCCCCAATGAATTTCAAAATTTTACATAGTAGTACCCTAGCTATTTTTTTTTAAAAAAATAGTTATGACCCCATTGAAAATATAAAATGCCCATAATAAAAATATATTTTAAGTAGAAAATTAATTATCTACCATTAAAAATATAATATTTAAAATTTATTTGAGTCAAAATTAAAAATAATGTATAGAAATTAAAATAAAATTATAGGAAATATTTTAATATTTTTAATTAATTATATAAATGCGTTATTGAGTAAAAATAATGTTTTTTTGTAAGTTCACATTGCTATTTCGAAAAAAAATAGAAGCACTGCCCCCGAACCCCCGTAGTAATCTCGCCCCCAGTCCTTACGATTCCTGGATCCGCCACTGCCCCCAAATGTTCCCCATCCCTACCTTGTTCACATAAATTGTCAAAAAATTTAAAAAAAAAATAAATAAAAATCAAATAAAATCGATGGTGGAGAATTGAAGTATTTGATGTATATTTGGAGTACACCAAATGTGTGCCTCTATCATCTCCCACCATTTATTAGTGGTGCTCCATCTTTATGTTTTTTTTCATACATTGACATTTATGCCCTTTTTAAATCGAGTACATGTAGAGTCTTATGTTTCTTATCTTTATTGAGACCGGATCTCATGACATTGGGGGATAATATTTTTTATTTGAGTTATTAGAATGTATATTATATTCTTTAATATTTTTTTTTATCATTTTTTATTAATATTGTCAAACTAGTAGAGGTAACGTTACGTATATCACCAAAATGATAAAAGTGATTTTCTAATAGAAAATAAAAATATTTTAGGGAAAGAAAAAATGAAAGAATAATTATTTTAAGAAATGGAGTAAGTATTTGTCTGTTATTTTAATTGTAAAATTAAACCATACATATAATATAGAGTACTATATGACCCGGATCTGAGTCGTTGTCATCTCTAAATGTTAGACTCTTAGAAATGGACGTGAGGACGACCCTCATTAATTTGAAGGGAACTAGCACAAATATAAACGCTACTACACATATGGATTATGGAAATAAAGCATGCGTATGACTAAAACTAAAGCGTGAGACATGCATATGGCGGAAGGTAAAATTAGAAAAATTTGTTCATATATGACTAAAAGGTAGTACATTTCCCTGAATATGACTAAGTATGTTTAATTTTTCTCTACGATACATATTTCCATATGATATGTCATATATATCTTCATTAGCAGTAATTGTTGGATAATAACTGATTATACGAATGACTCTACGAATGTAGTCATTAGGAACAAGTGTTGGGACAAGTATTGGATAATGACTGATGTTTTCAATGACTATTCAGATTATTTTTAATAATGTCTTATTCTACTTGAATTGTGTAATAGGTCATTCTTTTATAATGACTTCGCATTCACATTTTTAAAGGCGGGACATTTTTGAACTTTCCATTATCAAACATTAGAGTAAATAGGACCGATCCTATTTGGGGAAAAGTAATTTTTTTAAGTTCTATTTGCGTAAATTACATGCATATGAGTTATGATGATCTAAAGGTAAAAGCATTCATATATCATCACCGAAATGGTGAAAGGCAGAGAGCACCAGCTTTCCAGATCTAGTACTACATGTATTCTTTGGTCATGACCTAGCAGCTGGCACTGTCCAAATATGCTGAGAATTGAGATTGAGACCAAGTAAATCACCAGATTCACTAGTTACTTGGTAGGGCTGTAAACGGATAATATCTATCACGGATATGCCTGCAATATCTGAATTCGAACCCGATTAAGTTTAGGGATATCCGAATTCATATCTGTATCCGACGAATATTTACATTTCTATATCCGAAATCAAAACCAACGGATAATTTCTAGTTTCGGATATATCCAAATACGATTACATATCCGAAAACTGATTGAATATCTGAAGCTGTTAATAAAAAATTCATATCGGAGTCCATAATACTGAATAACAACACGTAAAAAACTACCCTCTAATGAGTACGGAGTATATACTTAACCAAAGCAAATGATTCGAACAAAAATATAAATTCATAATTGATGCTTTGTTGAGTTTGTTCGGCCATTTGTCTACAAAAAATTAAATACACAGTGTATAAAATGCATTGCTAGATGAAAGAATAAAAATAGAAAAAGGAATGCATATTATTGCTGTAATTTTAAAACAGAGAACAAAAGACCGAAATCACCCAACTTATCTAAGAATTCTGTTTTTTTTTTAGTAAATTCCATAAAAGGTCCCTAGTTATAGGTCGTTTTACATATTTAGTCCCTACATATCAAATATTACTAATTTAGTCCCCAATTATTAGTTTAATTTCCACGAATGATCCTTCATTGATATTTTTGTTAAAATGTGGATAAAATTGTAAATTCACACTCCTTTCTCTCCACAATTAAGCTTCCTCCCTTTCCTCGCACTCCTTTCCCAAACCTGTCGCTGAGTTTGAAGCTTTGAACCCCAAAAACGAAATCATCACTCTTCTCTCAATTGTTTGTCGAACTCGTGGAACCCAAATTTGAAACTAGTGACCTTCATGCATGAGTTTTAATATTTATTTTCTTTGCAATTTTTTAAGACTAACCGATAAAACTCATCCATAAATTTTATTGGTTTTGATTTTAAGTTCCACCAAGAAAAACTAATAATTGAGAGAAGAGTGATCATTTCAGTTTTGGGTTTAAAGCTTCAAACTCAGTGACGAGTTTGGGAAAAAGTACGAGAGGAGGGAGGAATCTTAATTGAGGAGAGATAGAAGTATGAATATACAATTTTATCCACGTTCTTAACGAAAATGTTAACAAAGGACCATTCGTAAAAATTAATCTAATAATTGGGGACTAAATTAGTAATATTTGAAATGTAGGAATTAAATATGTAAAACGACTTATAACTGGGGACCTTTTATGGAATTTACTCTTTTTTTTAACTGCTTCCCTATCATTTTATCCGGCCAATGATTCCAGTGGATGAACTATATTTGATAATGGTTTTCATGGGAAGATAATTTTTACTTTTTATGGTTTGATTTAATAATTCCTCTCTATATGTTAGCCTTGGTCTAAAAAATTCTCTTGGTTCTCATGACATTGGAAACCAATTTCATGGGATGATCCGGGGGTACTCCGATACCCTATTCGTAAAATTGATGATTCCTACCCCTCTAACCCCTCTCCCCGATAAACCCCCAACCCTATCCCGACACGAACACACTCCCTCACCCCTTCAATTGCACCCCCAAGTTAATTTTAACTTGGGTAAAATTTTAATTCCAAAATCAAAATTAACTTGGGGGTGCAATTGAAGGGGTGAGGGTGTGTTCGGATCAGGGGTTATGGGGTAGGAACCGTCAATTTTAGGAACGGGGCACCGGAGCACTCCCGGGTCATCCCATGACATTGGGAACCAATGTCATGGGAACCGGCCTTCTAAAAAATAAATATAGTTTACATAAATCATTGTCGATCGACGGAGAGAGGCTAACTGGCTGAGTTCGATAACTTGGATTGAGGCCTGAGGAGTAATGGTAAGGCACTAAAGTTAGAGACTTAAAGGGCAAGGTATATTTTTGGATATATGGGCAAGTATAACGAACTGGGTAGAGGGTTATATTTATTAAAATAATTTTAGTTTGGAATTCTGATAAACGGATATTTGGATAAATAATTATTTAAACGGATGTATATCTGGATCAGACTTTAAACGGATCGGATATACGATTACCAAATTTGTATCCGTTTAGTAAACGATTGTCCTTAATCGGATATAGATAATATTCATTTAAAACGGATGCCCAAATTAATCGTATGAAAACTTTTTTATTCTCTAAATATGACTTAATAAGGTCTAATGGCAGGAATAATGTCCAGTAATAATAAACATTTAGTTGAATAATGACTAATTAATAATGACCAAAAGTCCTACATTGAGAAATAAAAACATATGATTTTATATTGGGAAAGTCATTATGTTTTAATCTCATTTGGGTAAATTTCTCAAAATAAAAAGCAGACTCCGAACTGCATGAATACAGTATTTGGTGGACTTTAGGCGTGACATGTGGTGGAGCTGTAGTGTCACTTTTGACAAATGTGATGTGCCACGAGAAAAATAAAAAACTTTGCATGTCAAAAATATTAAAAAAAAATACCCGGGGTATCTAGATTTCAAAAGAATTAAATACTTATTTCCTTTTTTAATTCTTCCATTTTCAATTGTTTCTTCCTTTCCTTTATTCATTTTTTCTAAAATGATAATTACTTTTTAAAAACTTATTAATTAAAATTTATCATGTAGAATACTTTTGCCCAAATTTTAATTAATCTTAAAAATTAGACATGAATTTTGGTGTTTAAATATTTTTTAGTAAAATAATATAGTGATATCAATTATATATTCAATCATACTACATCGAAATATCTATAAATTATGTTATTTTTTCAAATTATTATTGAAAATTAGTTTTAAAAAATATTTTTAAGAATTTAAAGTACCAACTTTTAAATAATTCTACTGAAATGTTTATTAGTGTATGAAATTTTTTAATAAATACTCTCTTCACCCACAAATTCTCTTCTATTACGATGTTTGAATGGAATTAATTTTAATTGATTTAGTATGATAATTCGTGTAAAACTAAATAATAAAAATATTCAAAATCGAGATAAAAAGTTTTACAAAATTAGAGATGACATGATTGTATTACTTTCACACACGATTAGTATCAAATCTTAATTATAGAGCTCCGTTCTATATGGTTTGGGGGAGGGGGGTGAGGTGAAAGTAGTGCTTTGCTTTGTTCGTAGAATTAGAGGATTCAAACAGTTACAAAGAAAATGAACATTCATCCATAGAAAATAAAATTATTTTTTTCTTATAAATGATTTCCTACCACTTATTTAACCAAATGTAGGAAATTAGATTTAGATTCCCTACAAAAAAAAATCTCTCAACAAAAATCTCTAAAAGTTAGAATCCAAAAGTTTAGTATCTTTCAAGTATTCTGAAATATAACAAAATTTCATTCCACTCGTGCATAACACGAGTTAAAATACTAGTTTAACTATACAAGAGACTTTCTTCAAAAGCTAAAAACTCTATTACAATGTAATATTTATTCATATGTTCTCGATTTATTAAAGGTAGTAAAGTTACTGTTCGCATTGAGAATCGAACATGTTACTTCTCATTTGAGAAAGTCATAGCGATGTTGTTGGAATACCTCTACTGGATTTGATCTTTTCTTTCACTTTTATTTATCCATCTGGATTTAATCTTCCTATTGTTATATAAGGAGTATATAATACTCCCTCCGTCCCAAAAAGAATGGGACGGTTTGACTTTTTAGGAAATTAAGGGAGAAATATTTTGGTATTGACTTTCCAAAAATACTCTTGATGTGATGGATAAAAGTAGGATGTGATAGGTAGATTATTAGAAAAAAGGTATGATGTGATGGGTAGGGTATGAAAAAGTAAGGGGTAAAAGTGGTTTTCTAATAGAAATGTAACGGAATTTATGGGATGCAGTTTTTTCTAAACGTAACAAACTTTTTGGGACGGAGGGAGTATTTTATTTATTTATGCTCTATTATTCTTAATATAAAAAAGTTTTTTCCCCAAAACATATAGATCCACTAGAGTCCTCTTTCCTCGTACCTTATATATTGCCGATCCAAGGAGACGGCGCGCCTCCGCCCTCTTCTTTCCGAATGCAACAAGACGATCATTAAAAGAAGCGATCTCAAAGCAGAAGGAGGAATCCGAATGAAGTTCGGGTTGAAATCAGAACTGGCCCAAATTACCCCAAACTAGCAGATTCAATTAATAGAGGTGAATTACTGTTCCTCGTCTAGTCGTCTGCTAAAGTTTTCAGTTTTAAAAGCTTTATTAGCAAGGGCGGTCCAATTGGTAGTGGTGGGAGAAGTAGCGCCGCCGCGAGAGGGTGAATTCGGCGACCACTCGGAAGATATGGAAATTCCTTCTGCAGGCCAAGGAGAAGTATCACCTCCGGCAGGCCCATGTCCCTGGCTGGTGTTTGACGACGGCGAAGGTTACAAAACGCAAACTTTTTGCTGCAACATTACAGGACCACCTTCCTCCTCGGTCAAGATGTATCCCAAGAGAATCCCAGTTTTGCAAAACAAAAAGGTTGTTTGTTGTTCCCATGGCAAGCTAGTTTTGTTGGATGTTGATACCAAACTGCTGTCACTCTGCAATTCCACCACCTTTGATGACATTATATCCCTTCCTAGTTTGCATCACTTGTCAAATTACGGGATTGATACTTGTCTGCTACTCGACAATAAGTTGGATGATCTCATGGTTGTAATATTCTTGGAAAGTTTTCCATCCATAGTGTGCTGTTCAGTTGGTTCTGAAAGTGAGTGGAGTGAAATAGCATACGGGGAGCAGTTGAATGCCTATTTTCCTGATGACCTCATAGAAAAGTTTGAACATGCTGGAGTCGGACCTCTCTTTTTTAGTAGGGCAGCAGTTATTTGTGACAGTATACTGATTGTCAATCTTCAAATAAAACGGCGTGATTGTTTCTTCCTTACTTGGGTGATAGAGATTGTTGAGGAAGAAGAACGACTGGGACTGGTGTTGTTTTTTGCGGTGGGTGCGCCTAATGGTACATTTCGAGGACCACAGACTCCTATAAATGTGTATTTGTTGGAATCTTGTGGGGAAATCTTCTGTTTATATTTTTTCACTAAAGCTCTAGCCTTTGAGGTCTACAGACTGAATTTTGATGACCTGGTCTTTGAGAGAGTTAAAGATGTAAGGGACATAGCGTTCTTTGTTGGGGAGAGGTATTGTCTGTCCTGTCCTATATCAGGACCGGGTCTCATATACTTCACCACCTACGGTGACACCGATAATTTATATTGCTTCTACACACATGATGATAGCATTACGGCGTCTCCCCTTCCTTGTCCATTGCTTTCTTCTCCAACATGGATGTTTTGCAATGTTATGGCTCATGACATGCCTCTCAGGCTGGAAGAAAATCATTGCAACAAAGGCATCATCAGCAAGCAAGGAAAAAACAGCACCACTCAATCAATATGGGAGTTTGATGAGAATGGAGAGCAAGGCAAAAGACTTCGCGACCTTCCTTTGGATATGTTTGAAGAAGTTTCCAAGCATCTCGTAGCATTTGATTACCTGAGTTTTCGAGGTGCGAGTAAAATCTTCCGTTCTGTTGCCCCTCCAATCAGTTGGAGAAGAGCATTGTCAGAAGGATTGGGAGCTTATAATTTCTCTTGTCCATTGCTCATGTTTGCCAACAGAGCTGAAAATGTTTACAAATTTGTAGATCCCAATATAAACAGCAGCAGTTATAATTATTACCTGATGAGGATCCCCGATTCTCTTCAAATTCCTATAACCATCTGTTATTCACATCAAGGCTGGTTGCTTTTGTTGAAACCTCTGCGTGCCGTTCATCTCTACAACCCGTTTACCCGGGACATCATCAGTTGCAACCGTAGGTACGGGGAGGGGGTTGAGGAGAGCACATTTTTCTATTCAAAGCCATCTGCTATTACTACTTCTAATGGCGATTGTCCAATCATTAGCGTTGGTTTCTTTGAGGAGAAGAAAACTATGGTTAAAGTGATCAGCCCCCGCCCCGGGGATGAAATTGTGAGGCATTTTGATGTGGAAAGCGATAGGGTTTTCAAGGTGGAAAGCCATTTGACAAGCCCGGCTTTGTTCCAAGATGCTTTCTATTACTTAGATAAGCAAGGACGTCTTGGAAAGCTTAAAATAACAGATTTGTCAGTGGGAGACAACTTGAGCTGGGAAGTTCTTGACAAACCCCAATGCCCAGATGGGCTTATTGATTCTTCATATCACAACTACCTGGTGGAGTGCGGCGGGGAGCTGATTTCGGTGTTTGTTGGGCGTTTGGGTAAATGGGTTTCGGTTTACAGGCTGAATGGTGACGAAGAGGCTTGGGAAACGGTCACGGATCTGGGCGGATACGACTTGTACCTCAGCCCATCTTCATCCTTGTCTGTTTTGACAAAGACAAGAGGGAACAGAATCTATTGCCCTTGGCTTCGTGGTTCTGAAATTGTGTTCTTCTCTCTGGACACAGGCAAATGGCATTTCTCAGGGAGCGGAGATTCATCATGTGATCTTTACGGTACGAGAATGCACCTCAACTCATGTTGGGTTATGCCCACTTGGTAGTTTGTTTATTTACATACATACACATGGTAACTTTGGGGGGTGTTCATGGTACACATTCTTATTGAATTTATTTACATCACAGTAACATTAATAATGAGGGTCTGTTTGTTAACTCAGCTGAAGTTAATGTGCTTAATTATTGATTTAAGTGTTTATTATGTGTAGCCATGACATGCTGTGTGTAGTAGGCTACTCTTTTGTTATGCTGGTTCTGGATCTGTATGCTTCCGTGTATAATTATCACAAGATTGATTGAAAAAATAGCAATTGCAAGGATGCAATAAATTATCATCCTCTTTATTATTTGAAACTTCTGATAATTTTTGTTTTCGTTTACATTTTAATATCATTTGATAAAATAAAATAATCATGTCATCATGGTTTTTTTAAAATTTTTATGTAAACTTTAAATATGTAAATTTTGCAGAGTATTTTTTTTTATTTTTATAGAAACTGGTAAATCAAATTATTTTAAACATATTAGATCATCCCCTTGATTAGCTTACAAACTGCAGCACCAGCTTTGGATCACCCCCTTGATTAGCTTCTCAGAATCTTGTAGGTGGGAATATACAATAGAGATAATAACATATGTTACCCTCTCTAACCACTAATTCAGTCCTTGCTTCAAACTATGTAATATACCTAATCTGTTTGCTAAGGGTAGTTATGCTACTCTGATAGATGCCCCGTGTGAATTACTATGAAAGAGATCTAATTAACATTGTTATAACACTTCAACTCTGGTCACCAATTATGCTTATGAACAGAAAGAATACATGCGATTTGAAAAAAAAACTCGTCATTTTCTTGAAGCTTCCAAAAACACGACTTTCACTTGCTCTGGTTTTCCTCGTCATTGACAAAAAGCCGAAAGTCGTGTTTTTGGAAGCTTCAAGAGAACCAGAGCAGGGAAAAATCATGTTTTTGGAAGTTTCAAGAAAATGGCAAGGAGATTCTTTCTACTGTCAAATCTCATCTTCTTGGCGAGCAGGGATGATTACCTCAATTCAACCCATACAGAGGAAGCTTATGGAAAAACTCCTCCCTTCAAAGAAAACTTTGAGGAAAGATGGAGTCTTTTTGCAATCTATCCCACCCAAGAAGGTGTTGTTTGATTGGCGAGCAAGGGATGATTGCCACTGATATATAGTCATACATGTATACTTGTCTCACATGATACAAAGGTTGAGTGCTAAACCAAAGTGAACGTCATATTAAAAATGGAGTAAATTCTATAATTGATTCTTTATAACAAGGGGGTTTCCCTATTTAGTCCTCTATCATCAAATATTACCCAAGTGGTCCTTCTTTTATGAGTACCTTTCCACAAATAGTCCTTTTTTTTGATCTTCTATCATGTTGGTGTTAATTTGAGAGCTAAAAGTGTAATTTCACAATGATAATATATCTTTTTTGTCATACACAATTCCAAAGGCTGTTCCGTTTGCGTCGTTTGTAAATTACAGTTGCTTTTCACGACAACTATATAGTCTACAAATGTGATCTTTCGTTAGAATCCTAGCCTACAATCATAGTCATTATTTTGTGTTATCCGCTTAACCAATATCAGAACACGTCACTAGACATAATGTTGACGTCAAATTATACTTTTAGTCTTTAAATTAACACCAACACGGTAGAAGATCAAAAAAAGGACCATTTGTAGAAAGGTACCCTTAAACAAAGGACTACGGGGGTAATATTTGATAATGGAGGACTAAATATGGAAACCCCCCTGTTATAAAGGACCAATTATAGAATTTACTCTTAAAAATTCAACAAAAAAAATCAGGAATGGCGATTAGTGACGCATGAAATAGCAAAATATAGTAGATCATGGCTAAACATTGGTTTTTTTTTAATAAAAAAAGTCAAACTTGAGGGAGTGACTTTTGCTTATAGTCATTGCAGAAGTCTGATTAAGAAATTGCATTCTCTGAAATTTAAATGGAATTCTTGTGTTAGAAAGAGCCAGAAAAGATCGATCTGGGAATTACAATTTCATGTTCGAAAGAAAACATATAGGAGTATGTGATTGGTTTTTGTTTAACAAAGAATGGAAGAAAAAATGTAGTAGTTCAGTTATAGTACTAAACTGTTAGCATGAAAGCGTGATTTTCAAATTAAAACATTTAAAACAATTATAGAGTGCTACACCCTATCAAGTACTCCCTATTTGACATTGCCCATTGCTCAAATTTCTTCACTTTCTTTGTCTGCTTTTATTATCAAATTATGTAGAAGTTTTTATTCTATTAAATTTTATTTGGTGAGAAATGAAATAGAAAGTATAGAGCATTTCTCTTGCACTCTTTGACTGATAGTCATAAAAGACACATGGATTGGTGCAAACAATTATCCGTGCCTTTTTCCCAAACACAACCCAAGGGAACTTATGTTTTGAGAGTGGCCTCATGACATTCATACTGAGCACTGATTGTTCCATCTAGGAAAAAGATGATTGGTCAATTTTCAATGGCAAAAAAATAGTTGCCTGCATAAAAAGAGAAGACTACAGTGTCTGTTACTATGAAACAATCAAATTTTTGTGCTTAAAACTCTACTTTTTGGGCACTAGTAGCTCATTTTTCAGTTGAATATAATGGTGGATTCAATATGGAGGTGGCACTACCGAGCTTCAAGCTTTTTTGGCCTAAAGTGTTAGGTCTTTTTTGTTTCAGCATACAAATGTGCGTGAAAGCTGGAGTAGTTTAATCAAGTATGGAGAAAGAAAATAAATCATTTGACAACTATCGATCGAGATGTAGGATTTGGTCTATTTCCTGTTTAAAAAAGGTTAAAGAATGGACAAGAATTGACAATGAATGGCTTGTGGGAGAAAATGCTGGTGAACAACTCTGTAATTTTGGCAACTCACAAATGGCATCAAACTTTCAAAACACAATCAGTGCTCAATTATTCTAATTCCTTTGGTGAGAAATGAAATAGGAAGTATAGAGCATTATCTGTGCCTTTTTCCACTCGGAGTGAAAGGGTTCAATCAGAGAAAAGGGATTGACTTTGATGAAGTTTTCTCACCTGTAGTGAGGATGACATCCATAAGAACAGTGTTGGGTTTGGTTGCTACTCTTGATTTGGAAGTTGAGCAGATGGATGTAAAAACTGCATTTCTCCATGGTGATTTGAAGGAAGAAATATATATGGAGCAACCCGAAGGGTTCAAGGTGAAAGGTAAGGAAGACCATGTGTGTCGGCTAAAGAAAAGCCTTTATGGCTTGAAGCAAGCTCCAAGGCAATGGTATAAGAAGTTTGAATCTGTCATGAAAAAGCAAGGCTATAAGAAGACATCTTGTGATCATTGTGTATTTGTGAAAAGGTTTGCAAGTGATGATTTTATCATCTTGTTGTTATATGTTGATGATATGTTAATTGTCGGGAAAGATATTTCCGAGATTGACAGGTTGAAAAAGCAATTATGCAGCTCATTTGCCATGAAAGACCTTGGACCAGCTTAGCAAATACTTGGTATAAGTATTGTGCGTGATAGAAAAGAGAAGAAGCTTTGGCTTTCTCAACTAAAATATATTGAGAAGGTGTTGGACAGATTTAATATGATGTCTGCAAAATCAGTGAGCACTCCTTTGGCTACTCATTTCAAACTAAGCAAGAATCAGAGTCCATCTTGCGAGGCCAAGAAGCTTGATATGATCAACGTTCCATATGCATCTGAGGTGGGTAGTCTGATGTATGCCATGGTATGTACAAGACCTGATATTGCACATGCTGTTGGCGTTGTTAGTAGATTTCTTTCCAATCCAGGCAGAGAGCATTGGAATGCGGTAAAATGGATTTTGAGGTATCTTAAGGGTACTTCTACTGTGAAACTTTGTTTTGGTGGGGAGAAACCTTTACTTGTTGGTTATTGTGATTCTGATATGGCTGGAGATGTTGATTCTAGAAAGTCCACTTCGGGTTATTTGATTAAGCTTGCAGGAGGTACTATTTCTTGGCAGTCCAGATTGCAAAAGTGTGTTGCCTTGTCCACAACAGAGGCAGAGTTTATTGCTATTACTGAAGCGTGCAAGGAAATGTTGTGGTTGAAGAGATTCTTGCAAGAACTTGGCTTTACACAAGAGAGGTATAAACTACTTTGTGATAGTCAAAGTGCTTTACATCTTGCTAAGAATCAAACTTTCCATTCTCGCTCAAAACACATCGATGTGAGGTATCATTGGATACGTGATGTATTGGATGCTAAACTGTTGGAGTTAGCAAAGGTGCGAATCGATGACAATGGTGCTGATATGCTAACAAAGGCATTGCCTGAACGGAAGTTTGTTGTGAGATCGCTAGGCTGGCGATCACCTCCACATAGTCGTGAGGGGGAGCTTTGTTCAGTTTTGGGCTCACTTCTTATGTGGAGGCCCAAGTAAAGCCCAATTATTCACAAGCCCACTCTTTGATGAAATAAGAGGTTAACAAGAGTGGTGAGTAGAAAAACGAGAGAGAGAGAGCAGAAAAATCGAGAGTGAGAAGGAAGATGTTCATTTTTCGGATTTCTGTGCGCAGCATTTTTCAGACTGATGTTTGGAGGGTCAAACGGTGTCCGATGTCCTGAAATTTTAGGGGCAGGTTCGGGACATATTAAATTTGATTTCCATCGGTCAGTTTTGGATTTGAAAGTCTGCAGGCAGAGATATTTGCATCTGAACAGAGGCAGTATTTTCTGGTTTTTTCCTGCATATTCTCTAGCTGTTTGCTCCTTGTTGTGGCAGTATATTTGCAGTATCTTTATACTGATTTCAGCCCTTGTTTGAGACACTCTTGTACCCTATTTCTGGTCATAGTGGAGCTTGCTTGGTGGTCTTTGTGACCCGTGGTTTTTACCCTATTTGAGGGGTTTTCAACGTAAAAAAATTCTGGTGCATCGTGTCTCTATTGTTTGTGCTTATTTGCTATTAGCTTGTTGCTGTTTGTGATCCTCTTACTCTTGCAAGTGAGGAATTAGTATTTGGTGTGCTTGTATTCTCTTCTTAATTCCCATCACATCAAACTTTCAAAACACAATCAGTGCTCAATTATTCTACATTCCTTTGGTGAGAAATGAAATAGCAAGTATAGAGCATTATATGTGCCTCCCTTCCTTATCTCTCTCTTAGCACTTGGCCACAAATAAAAATCAATTCAGTGCAGTGAGGCACCAAGTCGAAATATGGTGGGAGCAATTGAACGCACAAAAAAGGTTTGAGAAGCCCTATCTAAAGCCGGCATAGCTACTTGAGCAGCGGAAGGTTGGACAGATGCACAGCCCTAGTATGTAATGTGTTGAACTTATTACACACGTTCTGATTAAAAGGTGCAAATATTCCAAGGGAGAAAATGGGAAAATCGTAGAAGATGAGGACAGGAATAAACTTCAAAAAAAAAAATGAAGAAAATGGGAAAATCGTAGAAGATTAAAAAGTGCAAATGTTCCAAGGCAAAAAAATAAATAAATTACAAAGATGAGGTTAGAAACAAACTTTAAAAAAAATGAAATGTCAAATTTCTTAAAAAAAAACCACTAGAACGAAATTAGTATGGGATAGAACATTGTCAAAACTCAAAAGACTAGAGAAAAAGAAGGGGAAAAAAGATTCACCAAAATAAGGAGTAACTCCAAGGAATGGCGGGAAGAGCATAATCACCGCCACTCGTTGCCTTTTCGGACTGTGTCGACCCGTTTCTTCTTAAAATAAGTCAGGTCTGATCCTATGAAAATCGGCCCGATCCGGCCCGTGCCCACACCTGCAAAATTTTAGACTCATTTGTAATTATATCTATTTGAAAATAATTTCTGTTTATTAAATATTTTATTTAAATGGAACTCATTTATTTTTTGAAAATAATTTCTGTTTATCAATTTAAATAATTTATTTCAGTTAATTATGTCTGCTTGAAGTTATTTTCAATGCAATTTATTCCATGATTGAAGCGGAATTAAAAAATAAACATCACATATTTAAAAACTACACAAAGAATTCTACAAAATAAAAAGTGGCATGAATATATTATTTTATCCAATAAATAATAAAAATTATAAAAAAAATTAAATTTTATACAATAAACAAATAATTTAATTTGAGACGGTAGAAGTATTATATCATTTCACACATGGGATTGCTATAGAGGATGGATGTTTGAGTTCGGAATTTCGGATCTATCTCCGCCGAGCCAGCCCGATAGGAACCCGACCCGGATCCATTTGGCGACCCTACTTGAACGAGTGCCCAACCTCAGAGTGCTTGACGGAGAAGACGACTCAACATATTGGCGGAGGTGAATGATGTATAATCTCAGAGACGCAGAGACTACTTCAGGCCTCTCCGCTCGCACCCTAGCCTAGAGTCACTAGACGACACCGCTTCTTCAAGGCGGAGCGGCTCCGATTTCCGGTCGTTCCGCACGGGGGCACGAGTTACAGTCGACTTCACTTCTCTTAAGTCTCCAAATATTCGTTTTTCAGTGTAGAGGTATGTACAATTCTCTAAATTTGAGACATTTATATCTTATCCAGTGGAATTAATTTATCTTTCCAGATAATCTTTGGTAGGTTGATCATATTCTTTCATCTCTTGTTTTTGTAAGTAAGGGTGGATGTAGTTTAAAGTTTTGCTAATTCATCAAATTTCTCTTCGATTTTTGGTTGAGTCACTTTCTGCATTCTGCATTTGTTCTTCTGAATATTACATGTCAGCGTTCAATGCATGAGGATTCCGTTCCGGGTTATTCGGGTTTTCGGTTATAATTCAAAGAAGAAATGGAGAGGAAGAAGGTTGATAGATCCTCGAAGATGAAGCTCCCTTCTTCCTCTCCATAGAAGAAGAAAGTGACTCAACCAGGTTATAACCGAACACCCGAAACGAGTCGTAGAAAAAGAAAGAGATCCTCGAAGATGAAACTATGTTGATGAATCAACTCAGTTGATTCATAGTCGTAATAGAATGGAGAGGAAGAAGGGAGAGAGATGAACATAGGAGTGTAAATTGGATTATTCATTCATTGGTTCTCAAATGTATAGAGACAAAGGCTTATATAGCCAAACAATACAACAAACTCCAAAAAAACTAACATCTCTAACCATTTGGTTACTAACTCCCCAAATACCCTATAACATACTACCCCCTTAAGACAACCTTGTCCTCAAGGTTGAAGCATTGGAAGACTGGTTTTTAAATCCTCAGCACACTTCCGTATAGCCCCTTGCACCATTTGACCTGTCCAATTGATCAACAGTGCCTTGGCTGAGTAATTACATTTAACTGTCCTTTGAGCTAGTACAGCTATGGATTGCAGCAGAGTGATGGAAGTTGGTCCTTGTAACCAGGGGGGTAAATGTGCTTGAGCTGGTGGTGTTTCCTCGAAAGGTTCCAATAGTGGAAGCTGGTCCCCAGGAATGCTTCCTTCTGAAGGAAACCATGCAGTGGAAGCTGAACCTTACTGCTAGTTTTTTCCTGAATCTTTGTTGCCTCCATAGTTTCTTCTTGAAATCTAGCATAAACAACAATTCTGGCCAAAGTCGTGGGAGCACAAGCTTTTACAAGTGATCAGATTTGAGCTTTCAGACCTGTAGCCAACTGACCCTTTTTTATTAAGCCAATCTTTTGTTCAGCTCCCTTGAGGACATGTGTTCTGGCAGAGGTGATATGCCTTGTGATTTCCATCTGAAACATTTGAGATTTCTATATTGTGTACATTGTTAATTTTACTCCTTAGCCATTGCCATCTTTAACCCAATAATAGGTCCCAGGTAGCATTTCAACTCTTTGGCCATATAAAAGCCCCTAAGGTTAGGAATACATTTTATCTCTAGCAACATTTGATTTGCTTTTTACCCAGCAGACCAGTAAACCTCTTTGTCTGGCCTTCATTTCCTTCAAGAATAGCATGAATTGAGATAGCTGCATCATTCCCAATTAGGGCATCCAAATCAGGCATTTTAAACTGCACCTTTTCATCTTTACCCAGGGCTTTTATCAGAAACTACTGGCTTTCATTGTGTTCATACTGGTGACCCCTTTCATATATCCCACTAGTAACACCGTTCTTTATCAATCTTCTCAGCCTCCACCATATTAAGAATGAAACCTGCCTTCTTTTGAGGGGTATGTTGACTCTTATATGAACTGGCTATCCTCATCTTGTTCTGGTTTGTGTCAGATCCTTGTGACCATCCAGTCACATTACTTCTAGGACTAGCCTTAGGTTTGGATAGCAGAGAAATGTTGGGCTTGACTGGATTAGAGTTATTTGTGACACTAGGTTTTGGAAGGAGCTCAGGTTTAGTTGACAGGGGTACACTGCTCATTGACTGTTGACCAAAAGAGTTTTGGAGCCTGTACAGTTTTTCTTGAAATTTCACTGCTTCTATTGTCTCTTCCTGAAGTTTGGCATACCCACTAACTTCAGTTATGGGAGTGGAATTAAAAGCCTCACAGATGACTAAAACTGAGACCTAAGTTCTGCCATGAAGCCATCCACAGCCTGCCCTTGTGCCCTAGCAGTTTTTTTAGCTTCAACCCATTTGATTCATCTAACTTGTCTTCTAAGTTCCCTGTATGGATCAATTTATCATCTTTGAATCTTGCATACAAATCCATGATGAAGTCCTCCCAATCCACATTAGGCCTAGCTTGTCCATAACTTCCAAACCATGTCCCAAACTTTCCCTATCAAATGAACCAAAGCTAGAGCTACCTTTTGATTATCAGGAACCGTATACATGGAAGAGACTCTTCCACATTGTTGGATCCATTCTCTTGGATTACCCCAAACACAGGTAGATCAATTCAAGGGTTAGAGGGAAATGGATTTCTACCTTCGATGGGCATAGGCGAGCTTCCTCCAAAAGAGGGACTGTCGCCTCTAGATAATTGCAAACTTTTTCTTCGAGTTGCAAGTAATTTAGCTTCTTCTTCCACCATCTTTCTTTGTTTCAATTCATCCATTCTTGATGTTGTTCAAACATCTTCTTAATGGATTCTTCCATTTGTACTTCCGATCTTGTGTTGATTAGGGTTTGCGTCTGCATGAATCAGAATCAATCGATTGCCAAAGTCATAGAGTTTGTGAGAGAATCTGATCGGCTAGCAGATGGCAAAAATCTGAATCGAATGTCAGTGATTGAAATTTGAAAGCCTGATTTGAGAGAGAATCTGATCAGCCTCCAGGATTCAATTGCTTTGATACCAATGTTAGCATTTAATGTAGGAGGATACTTGTAGAAGAAGAAAGAGATTCCTCGAGGGTGAAGCTATGGTGATGAATTAATTCAAATTGATTCACACGTGTAACAAAATGGAGATGAAGAAGGGAGAGAGATAAACAGAGGAGAGTATATTGAATTATTCATTCATTGGTTCTCAAATGTACAGAGTCAAAGGTTTATATAGCCAAACCATACCACAAACTCCAACAAACTAACAACTCTAACCATTTGGTTACTAACTTCCCAATTACCCTGTTACATAAAGAATCACTTTCCAGCTAAAAACTCTAATTTATTTTCCTCTACTTTTTTACTTGATGTAAGTTTCATCTAAACAGAAAACATTGTGTACATTCTTTGATTATTCGTTATAAGATGTGTCAAATTAATGTTTTTTCTACCCCAATCAGGGGGGCCTCTAGCCACCATGACTGATGCATTTGATGAAGAATCTGAGCCAACGGTTTCAATTGGAGAGTATTTGAAGGATGTCGAAGAACAGGAACTCGTAAGCATATATTTCTATGATTTTCTCTGGACAGTTTCGATTTATTCTATGGGATTTGTCCTTTTTGTGGTTTCTTTTGATCTATGATTGCTAAGCATGCTTGAACACAGATATCAGTGTAAATTGGTGCCTTAAGATTGCACTTTTTGGAGAAAATGAATAAGGGTTCTATTTTAAGTTTTAACGTTATTCTCAAAGCAATGTAGAAGTGGGTGCTTTTGAAATTGACCATATGCTCCATAGTGGAACTTTTAACCTTAAACTAAATCCAGGTGTTGATGGGTGAGATGACAGGATTAGATTGAAATCTTGAAATTCAACTAAATTAAAGTAACATAAATCAGTTCCCATTGTTTGTCTATGGGTTTTATAATACTGATTTTGCATATTGTTACTGGGTTTTATATTGTAGTCTCCATCATCTTGTTGAATACTAATGGATACTTATCTCATAAGGAAAAGAGAGATTCTTTCATATTCAAGTTCTCATGCGTATTTTGCATAATATATTACTCCGTATGTTGTTGTCTTATCACAACTGCATCATGGTTTATATTCTAGGGTTATTGTCTTAAAAACATAAATACTCCCTCCACCCTCAAATAAAATTCTCAATTTCTATTCTAGGGTCACAATAACTTCTGTTTACTTAGTTGTTTTCATTGATCATTTCATAAAACATCACAGTCATGTCATCTCTTGTTTTGTAGATCTTTTCAGCAAGTTAGTCTTTTAATTTTTTTTAAAAATTTCACATTTTATTTTGTTATTCTGTTTTCAACAAATGTCCTACATTCATGGCCGTTTTAATCCTTTCAATTGAGAAGGAAGCAGATTTGGTTTTGGGTGGTGATGAAGGAAAGGAATGCACTTACAACAATGGCTATATGAAAAGACAGGCCATCTTCTCTTGCTTGACATGTACACCAGATGGAAATGCCGGGGTTTGCACTGCTTGTAGTTTGTCCTGTCATGATGGGCATGAGGTAATTCTTGCTGATGGACTAGCATTTATCTAGTTGGATTTTTAAGTTAGCACCGTCATTTCTCTATTTAGAACTTTCATTTTATTCATTTGTAGATGGTTTGTGTTCATTTGTTATGGCACCTCATATTTATGCATCAATTGCTTCATTTTTGCATATCTTGTTATGTGCTTGTCTTATGTAGACATTATTTGTTTGAGGAGTCTCATTAAGGTGTATGTTGTTTTCTTGCTTTGGCCACAGTTTTTTGTTCTACCATTTGGATCATTTTCAGTTAGTCTATATTTGATTTTACACTTTAAATGGTATCTCTCCTGCATTATATCAATATGCTTGTATGATGAACTGCTCCTATGTCAATATCGTGACCAATAAACTATTACTGAAATTCTGTCCAAACAATGGATTTGATCAAGTGAAATTTGCAAGGGATAGTACTAAAACATAAGGCATTTCCCTAAATAGTACTTGATATTTTATATTCTACAAATAGGACTCTAGATAATAATTCATTACGGAGTTTTATTTAATAATTGTCATTTACTTAATTATCCTTATGAATTAATTACAGAGTATAAAAATTCAAACACTAGTTCTTCTTTTGTTTCTCTCATCTTCTTCTTTAATTCAATTCATTTGTGTCGTTCTCTTATAGATCAAACCAAAAAAATCCCCAAATCCTCTAGTGGATCGTTGCCCCCTCCCCAATTTCACTATCCTTCTCGTTTTTCTTTGCGGACTTTGCCATAGCCCCAAGTAGAATATGCCCCCGTCCACCGTCGACAATTTCTTAATCTTGCTACCAGCCCGGCACAGCATGCCCTTGGTGGCACTGCCTCTTGTGTCGCTGATTCCCATTGCCGCTAGGACATTGAAGACCAAGGACATTAATTGTCCGTCCCATGTGGACATTAATTTGAAGTAACTCAGTCGACATTAAGTTGTTGGAGTGTCTTGGTACTGATTTGATAGTCATTAAGAACAAATAGTGTGGAGGACATTACTATAGAAAACAGAGGACATTGTTATCCTGAAGATATTGAACTACTGTGGCCATTAATGCAGTGTTGTGCCACTGTGTGTTATGCGGCGGCTGCTTATTAAGGGTGGCGGGCCGGGTCAGGAACAACGGGAGCAGAGTGAATAGAATTATGAATTAGGCTTAAATTAAATTTGAAGGGTAATTTGGTGCATTGATATTATTGATAATTAATTAATTAAGTACTAGTTTGAAAAATAAAAACATAAGAGTACTATATCAAGAAATTAGTATTGTTTTAGTACTACTGACGAAATTTTCCCTTAGATGAAAACTAACATATTGGGATTTATATGAAGTTCTGGGAAGTGAATGCCGCAACGTATCATGGATCTAATGGAAACAACCTCGTTTTTTTTACAATGGTGAGGTTGTGGACATCCCAATTTTGCTCCTAGGCCCCAACGGAGTTGGGATTATACTGGGTTTTGTAGCTTTTGCTGTTGTCGAACTATTAGTGAAAATGATGCTGCCTTTTGTCTGTATTGCATTCAAACTGGGGTGGGTTCAACTGCACCTTAATATTTTTATCATAAATTATTGAGTATGAAAAACCTTCCTCTTATGTAATGTAATACGTTGCTTGAAGTAGATTGTGGAGCTCTGGACTAAGAGAAACTTTAGGTGTGATTGTGGAAATTCAAAATTTGGGGAATTCTTCTGTAAGCTTCTTCCAAGCAAAGATGTAGAGAATCCAAAGAACATGTACAACCACAATTTCAGAGGTCTATACTGCTTGTGTGGGCGTCCATTCCCCGACCCAGATGCCGAAGAACAAGCGGAGATGATTCAGTGCTGTGTCTGCGAAGACTGGTATCATGATGAACATCTTGGTCTTGAGTCTTCAGACATGGTTGTTGGCTTGTTCTCTCTTTCGTCTTGACTTCACGATTCTAATTAATCAATCAATTTGTTTTATCTACTGATAAATGGTTTTCTGACCTGTCTGCAGATTCCAAGAGACGAGGAAGGGGATCCAGTTTACGAGGATTTCATATGCCAGGGCTGTGCAAGTGTTTGTTCTTTTCTAATGTTGTATCCTCTGAAAGTCTTTGCACCAGTTCCTCAGAAAGATGATATTATAAAGGAGAAAAAAGTGGCCGAGAATGTTCCTCTATCACTAGGATCTTCAGAGGAGACTAATGGAGCAAGTTCTTCACTAGAGACTCTGGTTGAGAACATCAACAGAGGAGAAATCAATGAGGACAATGGCACATCGAATCATCACAATCAGACTGATGGTGCAAGCCAGAAATGCATTATTGGATTGAAACTGAGTGAGGAGGCCGGTGCTAACCCAGAGAAAAGCAAACCGATGTTTCTCTGCAAAAACTGGAGAGAAGCACTTTGCAGGTGCCTGAGCTGTGTGGACCTGTACAACCAGAAAGGAGTTGCCTTCTTGCTTGACAGAGAGGACACAATTGCCGAGTACGAGGCAATGGCAAAGCAAAAGAGAGAGATGCTGGAGGAGAAGCAGAGCTCAGAGTTTCTTAACAAACTTGGCCACGTCGAGAAAATGGAGATCTTGACTGGCATTGCTGACATTAAGAATGAGCTTCACTCTTTCCTGGTATCTATCTCTTGGGGTTATCTTGCATTCTATTGTCTTTTAACTTCATTCAAACAGATTTCTCTCTCGCAAGAGTTCTCATTGCCATTTGTACTGCAGGGGTCCTTTGATCCATCAAAGGCGGTTACTTCTGCCGATGTCCACCAAATCTTTGAGAATCTTGCAAAGAAACGCAGACGAATGGAATAAGCTCTTCCTACGGTATGTTTCAAAAGAACTGCTCTCTATGCAACCGATGAGAAAGCTTTCATGTTTACAAAGTGGTTATCTTGTGATGGGAAAAGTCTTATTTATCCACTATGTAGAGTCTATTTTGTAGTAGTGGGCAACATAACTCACCCTAAGTACTCTAAATAATGTGCTAAAAATAATTAAACCAAACACAACAAGAGTTTTATTTAATACACCATTCTTTGAAGCATAAGTTGATTTTTATTTACTGAGCACTCACTAACCTTTGACTCAATAAATCCACATTGAGTTAAATAGAAGGGTAAAAAAATGAGAAAACAAGAGTGCCCTAATTCTCATTTTCTCTCCGTCATAGTGTATTAATCTAGTTTGGCTTTTCAAGTCCAATTTAAAGAATTTTGAGTTTTTGTAATATTTTTTAATATAAAAATAATTCTATTAAATTTATCTTGTTGAAAAATTTTCAAAATTTTATTTTATTTTACTAATACTCAATATAAATTGAGTAATTAAGGTTTAAAGTTCAGATTGATTTGAAAATTTTAAAATATACAAATACATTAGGACAGAGTTGTTAATTGTTTTTATTAAAAAAAGGTTCAATAATGCCAAATTGTCAATACACGAAAATGAAAGTATATCCAATTTTGCTTGGTGTATCACTACATCAAGATTCTCTAATACTTTAGCTACGAGAGGATATCAAGTACTACCTCCGTTTATCAAGTACTATCTAATACTTTGAGTTATTATCTCTTATTTTCGTTTGTCATTTGATAAAATAATATAGTCACGTCTCTACTAATTTTGTAAATCATTTGATACATTTTTTAAATATGTAGTTTTATCTTGTAATTTTGTTCTATAAAATAATTTAAAAATAACTTAAATCAAACATTATAAATCAAAATAGATTATTTTTAAATTGGAACAGAGGAATGATATCCTCTCGAATTAAAGACACTAAAGACATAGCAACGATGCTACATAGGGGTAACATGGGCCTATTGTTCTTCAAAGTGTCCAGAGACGGGGACTTTTAGTAATTATTGGAGTTCTTTTGACAAGAAAGTCAATAATAAATGAAAGAACAATTGGAGGGATTAGGGTGAGGGTAGTGGGTTTCCTTGGGGTGGGGTCGTTGGGATTTGGGAGCACTTCAAGTTTGAATGGAGGGTAATACGGAGTATATTTTTTTGCTATACTGTGTGACAATTATGTCAGGCATAAAGTTTTTGTAAGTACCAAATACGTAGTACATGCTTCATTTTTTTATCAACAATCTGACAATCTGTGATCATAGTATAATTTTTCTCTTCGCAGTGATCTTCCGAACGGGTCCAAGGGACTCTCGGATATGGAACTCATCCTTTTTTAATACTCTCTCCGTCTCATTTTAAATTGTCTATTTGTCTTTTTTTTCGTCCCAAAATAAATTGCTTGTTAGTTGTTTTTGTAAACTTTTAAAAATAAAATACCTAAACTACCCCTAAAATAAGTTAAACTTCTTTACCTTATCTTCTCATTCATCATCACCATTCCTAAAAAGTAATGCCAATTTCAGAAAATCAACTCTATTTTTTATTTTCCTTAAATATGCCCAAAAGTCAAAACAGGCGATATAAATTGGGACGAAAGGACTATATATTTTTTCGTCTCAAAAGATTCCTTATAGTTTACGAAGTAATTTTTGGTCAATCTTCTACACGCTATAATGTAAGTTTATTATGATTAGATTCATTTTTATTAGAAAAATGCTAGGGGTACGGTACACCAAAAGTGTATCCTCCAATGCCATATATATTGGCAAATAAATTAAACAAGAAATAAATAAATAAAAATGAATGGTATAAAAATGGGTGGTGAACATTTGGGATACACTTTTGGTGTACCCTTATCACCCCTCTTTTTATTATGATTAGTTCGTTACACTAATTTGAAATGTTTTGAAACGTAGATGGGATGCGAAAATTTTAAGTGCATCTTGCGAAGTGCAATTGGAAATGCGTCATGCGAAGTTTGACATCAACTATTTCACATAAATATTTAGGGTTCATTTTGTGAGAAAAAGTAGATATATAATTTGATATCGGAGATATCAAATTTCTGATAAATATATTTCGTGAAAATAAAAAGGAATCTAGTTGATATGTAATACTCCGTATATGATAGGCATAGGCTCCATATCTGCAAGAGTGCGGCAACTTCAATCTCTAGCGCATCTCCTCCTCAGTGGCCTCATATATTCCTTTGAGCAACTTTTTTTTTAAATTTTCCATCTACTTTTTTATGTGATCTAATATTTTTGTTAAATGTGTAAGAATTTATTATAAAAAAATGTTCACAAAAATATAAAAAAAACAAAATCAAGAAAAAAAAAAAGTTTGTTAACAAAAATTACAAATAAAACCTTATTCTACGTTTTTATACCAATGCTACGTACTTGGTCCGTCTCTGAGTGTTTGTCCACTTTTGACTTTTGGAACTGTTCATCTAAGCACTTTGATTTATCAAATTCTCTCAATGTGTAAGCCTAAAAATAGTCATGTGTGATCTTGTTTGATTCGTCTTAACATATAGATTATTAATATATAATTTTTATTATTTTTTAATATACCAATTACAAGATAAAATAGATTAAAGAAGTGCATTGGATGGTGTGCAAAAATGAAAGTGGACAAATACTCAGGGACGGAGGGAGTATTTATTTTCTTATTTAATTTCTCAGCAGAGACTTTTCATTCAGATTTCAGAATACATATCATTTTTTTAAGATTTTAGAATTCATATCTTATTATATTTTCAAAATTCACAAACAAGTGTTAAGAATAATTGGATATGATGCACAAATAGTTATTATGTGTACATATTTGTGATGATTTCAAATTTTTATTGTCAAGTTCTTTGTCTATGTTTGGTTCAAGAAAATTCGGTAGAAAAAAAAAGAAATGATTTTTTTCTCATTTTCTCTCTAAAATTGGAGTGCTTTGATTTTTCTTTGGTTAATATATTTTGTTTTCTTATTTTAATTTTGTTTCCTTATTTTCTTTTTTCCTTATTAATCCAGAAAAATTACAAGTATATTCTATCTTATTTTTTCTTTTCACTTTTACAATTTTTAAATGTGTGATGAAATCAAGAAAAATTACTATATTATTTTATCAAATGTTGACGAACTCGAAGTGAATAAAGTTTGACCTAACAGTGAATGAAAAGTTCATTTGTGGACGGAGAGAGTACACCTTTGAATTTTTCAAACAAATTTACGGAGTAATAAACTTTGATCTCAAATTAAATAATAAAAATATTAGATATTGATACAAAAATAACTTTGTAAGAACCGGTAGGGGGGACAAAGAGTGTGAATTACGGCCACCGCCCCCAAAGTTGTTTTCTGTTAAAAACGACACCTCAACCACACATTCTTTTTCTCCATTTTCCTTCTTCTCCACCTTTCCCTTCCCAAACAGAGCATTTACAGATCCCTTCTTCAATTTCTGCAACTGCAAACTGAAAAAAAAAAAAAAAAAAAAGAAACACACACAAAGATTAGCTGATCCAACTAACTATGGGTTCTGTTGGGATCCCCAAATCTCTGCCGCCATATATTTACTACAGTCCCAGCGGCGGCGGCGACTGTTCGGAGATGATCTGCACCAGAAATTGTCTCCGGTGGTGCATCAATCTCTTCCCTCCCCCGCCCTCCGACGACGACGACTCCGGCCCCAATTTCTCCCCCCTCATCATCGTCATCATCACCGTTCTCGCCAGCGCCCTCTTCTTCGTCACCTTCTACACCGTCTGCACGAGCTGCGCCAGGCGGCGGCGCCGGAGACGGCTCCGAGACGTCGAGGCCGCTGACCGCCGCGAGACTCCCCCGGCGAACGGTGCGGCGGAAATCGTTAAGAGGGAAAGCCGGGTGTTCAAGTACAAGAAAGTCGGCTGCGGCGGTGGCGGCGGAGGAGCGGTGGAAGTCCAAGACACGGAGTGCCCGGTTTGCTTGGCGGAGTTTGAGGAAGAGGAGAGTCTTAGGTTGTTGCCAAAGTGCAGCCATGTTTTTCACCTCGTTTGTATTGACACTTGGGTCAAATCTCAGCCCAACTGCCCGATTTGTCGCGCCAGCGTCGTTCTAAATGATACTGCTCCGGCACTTCCGGAATCCATCTCCCAGGAGAACTCAAGATGAAACAGAGATCATTTGTGAGCTTGATTTGGAGATCATAGCAGAATATATGGATGATGATTTTCTGTACCCAAAAAATAAATGGTGCGAAACCGTTGACACCAGATACAATCTATATAACATACAGTAATTTTTGAAGCATGCTAATCTCATCCCACTTTGTACCCCATTTTATATCTCAAAATTTTACCCTAATATAAAATGTAATTACAACACTGACATAATATCAGTTTTGTACTTACATTTAATGTCAAGGCAAAGCAAAGTACAAAATGAGTTAAGAATATGGGGTTCGGTAGAATTTTTCATAATTTTTTGTGAACTTTGTATTCAAAGATGATTATGGTCCATTTGTATATAAGTTTATAGACGATTGTTACCCGTCCGGTCAACTAGGGTGATTTTTAACATGATTTTAAAATCATTGTTTATGATATAGGAAAATCTTATATTGTATATCTGGATGTACCTAAAATTAGATATATTTAGTTAATGTTTATTTTGAAATAGGAAAATCTTATATTGTATATCTGGATGTACCTAAAATTAGATATATTTAGTTAATGTTTATTTTGAACTAATATAATATTTATTTTGAAGCAATGTAGTATTTATTTCAAACATGTTCAGTATAATGTGTTCATTTTAAAAATAATATAATGTCGCTCATTCTGAAAGACTGAAACAACGTAATATTTACTTTGAAATATTTTTTAACTACAAATTGTCATGAGGTAGGGTACATCTGAGTGTACTGTACACGGAGTAATCTGTATGACATAGTTACAATTATTATATGTACATAGTGAAATTTTAAATGCCAAAATTAGTAGCTTATGTGCAGGTAAATGAGTATGTAAAATGTTTGATATCCAAAATTATTGAATTTTTAATAGAGAAATTTACCTAAATAGGACTAAAACATAATGACTTTTCCAATATAGGATCATATGTTTTTATTTCCCAATGTAGGACTTTTGGTCATTATCAAGTAGTCATTATTCAAGTAAATGTCTATTATTACTAGACATTATTCCTCCCATTAGGTCATTATTAAGTCCTATTTAGGGAATAAAAAAGTTTAAGTCCTACATTAGGTGATTAGGAAAGTCATTTTGTTTTAGTCATATTCAGTGTAAATTTTACTTTTTAATATTTTTGTTTGTAAGAATTGTGAGTAACTGTCTTATTGGCAAATTCTATGGTAGACTTAAAATTCCATAATGAACCTACATATAAGCAAAATAAGCATTTTTTATTATTTAAATAAACGTTTTTTAAATAAAGTTATATGATAAGATCCAGGAAAATGACCAAAGAAACACTATGTTTTGTTTGTTTAGACGCACGGTGTAAAAAAAATATTGCTAAGAAAGACTAGTAATTAATTGAGTATGTTTTTCTCAATTACTCCGTGCATGCACAAGTTAACTTCATTTTTAAAATTTTGGTTTATTTGTTAATTTAAAATTGTTAAGTTAATAAAATAAAATATTTTTTTTCGTATTTTGTCTTATAAAATTTTTGATGTACTTTTAAAATATGAGTATTTATCCACATACTTTCGACTTTTTGTAATTAATTTAAATTAAAATTTGACCTATAATTAAATAAAGAATATTTTGAAAATATTTTGCAAGATAAAGATAATAAATTTTTGTTGCATTAATATATCTAATATAACTACTTATTTAAATGTCAAACTTTAACTTTTTCATTTTACCAAGATGAATGAAGGAATTAATTTTTTTTCATTATTAACGGAGCTATGGTAAAATGTTTTTTAGTTAATAAAGGAGTTTTTTCATTAAAATATTTTTTTAATTATTAACGGAGATTTAATTAATAATTCCAATTTCATATTACCAACAGTATTCACGGAGTATATTTCCTTGCAAAAAATAATTACAATTCTGTTGTTTGGTATCACAAAAATATGTAGATTTTGGATTGTTAGTGCCAAGAATGAATTGGAAATGAAAATTTCAATTTTGTCCAAATCAATTCTATAAAAATTCAACTATCAATTCAATTTTATTTACGTATACTAAAGAGACCTTAAATATATTTTAATACTTGTTGAAGGAATTTGAAAATTAGTGTGTTGTTGTGTAGATAGAATTTACTTTATATTGTGTAATAAGTTGTACTGGCCCGTGGGCCTTCTCTTGTAAAACCCTACGAAGCTCTTCCCTATATAAGGGAGCTATTATCAATAGAGAAAGACACATCTCCCACAACACGTTATCAGCACGATGGTGTAAATTTTTTTTTCTCTTTCAATCTGTTTTTTTACTGTAATGCTATAGTTTTTCAATCTGCAATTTCATACCATTCATTCTAATTTTCAATGTATACATGCCTGCTAGTCTTCTCTAGGACACTGTTTCCAGGGGTTTTATTTTTAGAAGAAGATTCAACTTATTTTTTTTCCCCTACTCAGAATTTTGATAACATTTAAACTGAAAAAAAACTATGCCGGCCAAAGAAGGTACTCATATACTTATTTTTGTTTAAACTTTGATGTTTTTGCATGACTATTTTCTTATGCTCCTGTCTTGGTTTACGGCTAATGACTTCTCAGCATTAACAAAAAAAAAAATTAAAAGTGGTTTTGGCAAATTGAAAATATACATTGTTTTATGTGTTTACCCGATGGGTATTTATGCGTTTGCCATAATTGAATGACTTATCTAGCATTTCTGTACATGAAAATATTTTACCCTTGAAAAAAATAAAACAAAACACGAAGGAGAGAGCATGAATTATATGATAAAAACTCTCATTTCAAGATATCAATTTACTTATGATTGTTTATTTGCATTTTATCTAGAAATGACTGATCCCACTAGACCTGAATTTGACATCTTGGACTCAGAAGGACTTGAGTACCACCGTTGGGTTTCTGATGTAGAAATGGCTTTCGTGGCTAAAGACTTCTCTGCCACACTTAAAGACCCCAGTGAATTGAAAGATGCACCATCTGAAAAAGTGAAAGCAAATGCTTTAATGTTCCTAAGGCGACATATTGACCCAAGTTTACGTTGGGAATATCTTCAGTTAAAAACCCCCAAAGAACTGTGGGATGCCCTTAAGGGACGTTTTGGGAACATTCATGATACTCTGCTCCCAGAACTAAATGCGCAATGGAATGAAATCCGTTTGCTAGACTATAAACGGACAAATGACTTTGTCAAAGATATGTTGCGTCTTAAGGCACGTCTCATCTTTTGTGGTAAGCCAATCACCGAAGATGACATGATTCAAAAGACTCTTGACACATTTCCTACCTCATCCATGATACTAGCGAACCAGTACAGGATGGAGTATGAAAACAAAAGAATTACCACATTCTACAAGTTGATGAATATGTTGCAATTAGCAGAAAAGCATAATGAAGTCCTTGTGAATAACAATGCTCGGCCTGTCGGGACAAAGAAAATTCTTGAAGCCAATTATGGGAAAATAAAACATGGCAGGCATCCCAATGAAAAGGGACCTAGACGTGCCAACCCTTACCCACGTGGAAATAACTCTAATCGTGGGAAGGGTCGTGGTGGCCGTGGTGGTCGTGGTAGAGGTCGTGGAGTATCTTCCAATGTTTGGCGAAGAGAGTCAAATGATGGACCGAGTGGCCACACAAACAAGAAGTCAAATGCATCCAACCCTCCTGTAATAAAGAATGAGCCATGTTACCGATGTGGAGTTAGCGGACACTGGTACAAGCATTGTCGCGCTAGTAACAAAGTTGCAGCCTACTACAAGAAATATCTCCAATCTAGAGAGCATGAATCTCAATATTTGGACGAAGAAGGCAATGACGCTGATGTCAATCTTACCCTTGCACACTTTACGAACAAGGGGGATAATGTGCACTCAATGGATACACCTGATTTTGATTAATACCCTCTATTCATTCTCTCTATGCATGATGTTTTAGAATAATTTTTTTTATCTCTGCCGATTGCCTAAGAGTGTTTTGAAGACTATTTATTGCGTTTTTAGACTATGTGGAATTGTTTTGAATTTGCATTCAATTTAAATAAATTAAGGGATTTATGCCCCTATTTTTTATATGCATTGTGTGTTCTAGTTCTATATGCAATTCTCTCATTACACAGGCATGAATCGAGGTGAACTTGAGTGCTTAATAGATAGTGGGACTACCCATACCATCTTGCGAAATAGGCAACTCTTTGTTAACTTGGTAGCCTATAATTCATCTGTGACAACAATGATTGGTTCGTCACATGTAATTAAGGGACGTGGTACTGCCATTTTCTTACTCCCTAATGGTACATTGATTAAAGCCATAAATGCTCTATATGCACCTAGAGCTACTCGAACGTTGTTAAGTTTCAAAGACATCCGTGACAATGGTTTTCATGTTGAAACCCATTGTGAGAATGGTATTGAATATCTTTACATTACTTCTAATGAATGCGGAAGAAAGCGCATCTTAGAGAAGTTTAAGGGTAAGAGTAGTGGACTGTATATCACTACAATTCGAATAATTGAATCTTATTCTATAAGTCATGATGACATAAGGGATACTGTAGACTTTGGCATGATCGACTAGGGCATCCTGGTCGTGACATGATGATTCGTATCCTAAAAAACTCTCACGGTCATCCTTTCTTTCGAGGCAAGGACAAAGCGAAACAAAAACCCGACAGCTTGAAAAGCGGTCGGCCCAATCTTGCCCAACTGCGACAAATGCCTTCTAAAGAAATTGAAGCATCGTCCTCGTCTCAAAATAATTTTTTAACAATGTCACATGCCCACAAATCCTTTTGTAAAGCCTGTTCATTAGCGAAAACAGGATCACGACCATCCTATGCTAAAGATTCAAAAGAAAATATACCATTCCTGCAACGGATACAAGGAGATATATGTGGGCCAATACAACCAGAAAGCGGACCATTTCGGTATTTTATGGTACTGGTTGATGCCTCGACACGTTGGTCACACGTTACATTATTATCAACAAGAAATGCTGCATTTGCAAAACTCTTGACACAAATAATTCGTTTAAGGGCTCACCACCCTGACCACCCGATCAAGTCTATAAGACTTGACAATGCTGCAGAGTTTACATCTAAGAACTTTGATGATTATTGTGTGGCCATCGGGATCGATGTAGAGCATTCTGTTCCCCATGTACACACGCAAAATGGCCTTGCAGAAGCAACCATTAAAAGACTACAAATGGTAGCTCAGGCATTGATTATGCGTTCTAATTTGCCCACATCTGCATGGGGTCATGCCATATTACATGCAGCTTTACTTATTCGCTTGAGACCCACTGCTTCACAACCATTCTCTGCATACCAGTTGGTGACTGATTATGAGCCTGACATTTCACACTTACGGATATTTGGTTGTGCAGTGTATGTGCCGATTGCGCCCCCACAGCGCACTAAAATGGGTCCTCAAAGACGATTAAGTATTTATGTTGGATATGAATCCCCAACCATTATTCGTTATATAGAACCTTTGACAGGTGATCTTTTTACTGCTAGATTTGCAGATTGTCACTTTGATGAGACAGATTTCCCGTCGTTAGGGGGAGATAAGAAAAACTCTCCAAGCGAACGACAGGAAATATCGTGGTGTGTCCCCACACTGTCTCATTTTGATCCCCGTACTTCACATTGTGAAAGCGAAGTGAAAAGAATAATTGATCTTCAAAACGTGGCAAACTCGATGCCCGATTCATTTACTGATATTGCTAAAGTGACAAGATCACACATACCTGCTGCAAATGCACCTGCAAGGTTAGAAGTCCCAACTAAAAAGAAAAATGCCATAATGACAGGCATTACATCCACACCGAGTGGAAGTGTGGGTGAGGTCGTGGCTCCTCAAAGGAAGAGAGGAAGGCCACTTGGTTCGATTGACACTCATCCAAGGAAGAAAAGGACGAGTGCGGCACAAACTAATCCGTTACACATCGATGTTGAACATCCATCCCATGAGATTATCTCTGATTATAGTTATGTCCATGAATCATTACTGGAGGACGCTCCGATGTT